CAAAACAAAAACCATTATTTCACACACAAAAACATATCATTCAAAAAATCTGAAATTTGAGGAAGAAAGGAAGCAAAGTACCTTCAACCTCCATCGTAACGTGCAGCTTCCTCTTCTCTCCCCAACAATCTCGCCTCAATTCCGCAACAAACACACTTAACCACTATTATCACCATCATCGTAACCTCACTCAATTTCCAACACCCAATCGTCAATCTTCGCCATCCTAACACCAAACCCATTTCGTCCTCTGCCGCATCTGCAAAACCTTGTGAAGCATAGAAACAAGCCGGAGAGAAGAAATTGGTTTCAGGTTCCGGCGCATGCGCAAAAGGAAGTTCGGAGCCTACTGCACTGATGATAATCGATTCACTCTTCTTTTATGTTCTTCCTTTCAGTTTTTTGTGTGCTACGATTTGAATTGATGGTGATTCAATGCAGAATTTATGTTTGTTGTTGATGTGATACATTGATTATTGGAGAGGACGATGAAAGGGTGATGATGATGATTGTTAGAGGTGTAACTGGGTAGAGATAATTTAGAGTAAAAGAGAAGTTTCTGAAAGTTTCTTTGTGACCATGGTGAATATTGAGAGAAGAAGGAAAGAGACGCGTGGAAAACGATCTAGCGTTTTCGGATCCAGCGGCGGCGGCCATAGTACATTTCCTAGGTTTTTTTGTACAGCATTGTGTTCTTCTTCTTGGGTCTGGGTCCTCCAATGACCCGCTCCATTTCCCTCAACCCAGCTCAATTTCTTTTTTAACTTAAGCCCATTCTAATTGCTACTCCCACCCCATCCTTTTACATGCTTTTAGTTTAATTCTATTTCTTTTTTTTCTTAGCTAATTTATTTGATTTAGATTAATTAGTTTCCTAGAAATAAACATATAGTTTTAATTAGACAATTTTTTAATATTTTACCCAAATCTCATTTAGTTTAAATTTAGGTTTATTTAATAATTTTAGTCTTCCTTATTTCTAATTAGATTTAAATTCATGACTTGTAAGTTTTATTTAGTTTGGAAATATTTAATATCTCTAAAAACATATGAAATGAGAAAACTAAAAAACATGCTATTTTTCTTTAATTTACTCCCCTCATTTTGGTTAAATACTAATACAAAAAAGACATAAAAAATAGAAACATATAAAACCTAAAAAACATTTCTATTAATTCTCGTTACTTTTTATCTATGTTAAAATGCGTAACCAATTAAAACATTTTTCTCTTCATATATTAAACAAAAATCAAAAATGCATGTTCACACTCAGTCTCTTATTTAATTTGTTGTATATCATTCATCTCATAATCTTCTGTTTAAATATCTCGCATTTACTTGATTATTCTGTTTGCGCCAATCCAAAGGGAATTGTCTAATTTTTGTTGACTTCATGTCCTCAAAAAACGATCGAGCGAATACTCTCATTCATTAAAGACTTAGGTTAATTTTCCTTCAAATATTCAACCTTTTCGAGACTTATACCTTTTAAGCAAAAACTTCGACATTAGGTCGTCGTATCTTCAAAAACCCGTCCGTACCCCTTTTCGGTCAAAACAATGCATTTTTAATCAAACAAACATTTTAATAAACAGATATTTCAAAAGGTTCCTATAGAGTACTATAGATACATTGGGTGCTAATACCTTCCCATTGTATAACCAACCCCCGAACCATAGATCTCTTTTCAAAACGCCTTGTATTTTCATTACTTTCAAAAGTATTGTTTACATTGCATATTTAGGGTTTTATTTCGCTCTTTTCCCTTTTCCTTTGGAAACAATAAAGCGCGGTGGCGACTCTTGCTTTTGCGAGGCGAATTAATCAATAATTCGATCTCCGATTTACCCCGCTACATTTTTTATCGCGACAGTTAGCCCAAAACTGTACTAATATATATTGTAGATTTAGTTTTTTTTTTGTCTAAATATTTTATTTTCAACTTTTTGTGTAAATAGTGATAATTGTTTAAGTGGTAAGATATATATTTTCTATTATTTTTTCATTTTTAATTTTTAATTTTTAAAATTCATTCTATATTTAAAAGTTTTGTTAAAATTAAACATAATAATAATTATTACAAAACGACATAGTTTAGCTTTTAAGAAAGAAAATAAAAAGTCATTCAACTTGTAAAAACCTTCTATTCATCGATTTATTCTATCTTTGATTCTTATAACACTTGTTTTCGCTGACTTAATTAAATGACTGATTCAACAACCAGCTCAAACCAATATTTTCTAATTTTGATTCAACCGGTTCAACCAATAGACTTAAGACAACTGTTTAAACAATGAAAAAAAACATAATTTAGTTATTTTATTCTAATCTTATTTCTATTTTATTATTAAGAGAAAACTCTAAATTATTGTCATGTAAATTCTATTTTAAAGTTTGATGGTTAATATTTAGTCTTATTAGATTTTAATTGTTATATGCTCTTTGCATAAAAATATATTTTAAATTATAATTATTATATTAATAATTTTATTTCAGCCTTGTCAAAATAGTTTCACATTATTTAAAAAATTAGACTAAAACTAATTTATATACAATATTCATACACTTCAACATAACGAGACGTCTTTTTTAAAGAGCATAGTCGCGAAGATTCTCAACTTAAAATTGACAACACTTCATAATCATAGTGATGCGGGCTTGAGATCGACAAAAATAAATTTTAAAATAATTTAATTAAAATTAAAATTATTTTTTATCAGAAAAATTATATATATATATATATATATATATATATATATATATATATATATATATATATATATATATATATATATATATATATATATATATATATATATATATATATATATATATATATATATATATATATATATATATATATATATATATATATATATATATATAATATAAGTATATATATATATATACATATATATATATACAAACCTTCTCTGTAATGTTGGCGAGTTTTGTTTTTAGTCTCTGGTAAAGTTTTTTTTAAACCCCTCCTTATGTTATGTAGATTCCCTCATAGAACCTCCCATTGATCAAGTGTCATGGAATCTTCATCTATTATTTCACGCGTGGCGTTTTGTTTTAATTTTTTTCCAAGATTTGGACATGTATTGATGACAGCATGGCATAAGTTATATTTTTTCTTCAAAACTAGGGTTTGTTATTCCCCCATTCTCTCTTCATCTTCGTCCCCTTTGTCTTCTCTCCTTCATCTTTGTCCGCCATCCCCTTCATCTTCCTCACAATCATCTGGGAATGGGTGGAAGCAAATCTTCATCAACGGATGATGTTGGAAAGGGTCTGCCAATATGCGGGTGCAACTCAACCATGAAGATGTGGATATCCAACTCAGTTGAAAATCCAGGCAGAAAATTATGGAAATGTAGGAATTCTATGAATGGTTGCGGTCTGTTCTTGTGGGACGATTTGGTCAGTGAGCTTGAAGTGAACGAAATTAATTCGTCTAGATGTCGCCAATGTGAAATGAATAAGGCTTATTTGAGAGAATTTACAAAAGAGATTGTTGAGGAGATTGATTGCAGAGTAGAAAGGCTTAACAAGTTAGAAAAACTTAAGAGAAAGATTGTAATGGAAAAGAGAATAAATTTATGGACGATGTTTGTAATTGGTCTATCATGGATGGTGTTTGGAGTTGTGCTTAAGTTAATATAGTTGGTATGTTATCCATTTCAAATGTAATTGTAATTCAACAAGTTTATTATGAATGAAATGTTAAGTTTTAGATGTAATTCAACAAGTTTATTATGAATGAAATGTTAAGTTCTGTTATCCATTTCAGTTGTAATGTTATTTGTGTCACTTCAATATGATTATGTTATTATATGTACCATTTCACCTAAATGTCTGATTTATAAAACATTGGTAGAACTGATACAAATCATATTGAAAGTACTGATACATATAACCTTGAAAGTAGAATTGATGCAACTTAGATTAACAAAATGAAACATTGGTGAATAGGTATATTAGAAGAACACTTGGTGCATATGTCTGATACAAGCACATTTGGTGCATAAGTCTGATACAAGCACACTTGTTACATAATTTCAAAATAGCACAAAAGAAACATGGTACAAAATGAAAGAAACATTACATGACAAATACACAAAATCCATAAGATACATAGTACAAAAGGCATAAGTTGCAGATACATAGGTCTATTACAACAAAATATGATAGTTAATCTCCCATATTCTTGGTCTTCCATGTCTTCAAAGACCTAGTTGAAACTCCAAGCTTGGCATCTTTTGAACAAGGTTTTTCTTCTTTTTCTGATATGGTAATTGGCTGGTCACTAGAAGACCCCTGGCCTGGAATTGGTTTTTTGAACCAATTCAATTTTATCCTCTCACTTTGCCTTCTTTTAATGACTGGTTTTTTTCCTTCCTTCTTTCTTGGTTGATTTTTTATTGAGTCAACCATACAAGATCCTGTTTGACTCATAACAGTTGGTATTGAGGGCTCTACGGTCTCAGTTCCAGTCTTCCCACTAGTTGGCATATCAGTCTCAGTCTGCATCTCAGTAGGCATTGTAGCAGGAATTTCTGAATTTGCTGCAGTCTCTACATTTTCAGCTTCAGTAGGCATTGCAGTCTCTGCATTTTCAGCTCTAGTAGGGTTTGGTATCTTTTTACCTTTTCTCTACACAATGAATAATAACACAAAAAGTTAGCTCGTTGCAATAAAACTAATTACACAAATTGTAAGAAAACTAATTACCTTTCTTTTAAGTGCATTGGGATCCTGTGTCAAGGCCTTGCAAGTCAATGCATTGTGACCAAACTTGTCACATTTGGTGCACTTGTATGCAACAC